GAGGGAGGGAGGGGAGGAGGGAGGGGAGGTGAGGGAGGGGGAGGGAGAGGGGTGAGGGGAGGGAGGAGGTGGAGGGGAGGGAGGGAGAGGGGGAGGGGGAGAGGAGGGAGGGTGAGAGGGAGGGGAGGGGAGGGAGGAGAGGGAGGGGAGGAGGAGGGGGAGAGGAGGGAGGGAGGGGAGGGGGAGGGAGGGGAGAGGGGAGGGAGGGGAGGTGAGGTGAGGGAGGGGAGGGAGGGAGAGGGGAGGTGAGGGAGGGAGAGGTGAGGGAGAGGAGGGGAGGGAGGGGAGGGTGAGGGAGAGGGGAGGGGAGGGGGAGGGTGAGGGGAGGGAGAGAGGGAGGGGGAGGAGGGAGGGAGGAGAGGGGAGGGAGAGGGAGAGGTGAGGGAGGGAGGGGAGGGAGGGAGAGGAGGAGGGAGGGTGAGGGGGAGAGGAGGGAGGGAGGGGAGAGGGAGGAGGGAGGAGGGAGGGGAGAGGAGAGGGAGAGGGTGGACTCAGCAGGTGGAGAGGGAGAGGGTGGACTCAGCAGGTGGTGGAGAGGGAGAGGGTGGATCCTCAGCAGGTGGAGAGGGAGAGGGTGGACTCAGCAGGTGGAGAGGGAGAGGGTGGACTCAGCAGGTGGAGAGGGAGAGGGTGGACTCAGCAGGTGGACTCAGAGGGAGAGGGTGGACTCAGCAGGTGGTGAGAGGGAGAGGGTGGACTCAGCAGGTGGAGAGGGAGAGGGTGGACTCAGCAGGTGGGAGGGAGAGGACTCAGCAGGGAGGGTGGACTCAGCAGGTGGAGAGGGAGAGGGTGGACTCAGCAGGTGGAGAGGGAGAGGGTGGACTCAGCAGGTGGAGAGGGAGAGGGTGGACTCAGCAGGTGGAGAGGGAGAGGGTGGACTCAGCAGGTGGAGAGGGAGAGGGTGGACTCAGCAGGTGGGAGAGGGAGAGGGTGGACTCAGCAGGTGGAGAGGGGAGAGGTGTGGGGACTCAGCAGGTGGAGAGGGGAGAGGGTGGACTCAGCAGGTGGGAGGGTGGACTCAGAGGTGAGAGGGAGAGGGTGGACTCAGCAGGTGGAGAGGGAGAGGGTGGACTCAGCAGGTGGAGAGGGAGAGGGTGGACTCAGCAGGTGGAGGGGAGGGTGGACTCAGCAGGTGGAGGGGGAGGGTGGACTCAGCAGGTGGTGAGGGAGAGGGTGGACTCAGCAGGTGGAGAGGGAGAGGGGTGGACTCAGCAGGTGGAGAGGGGAGGGTGGACTCAGCAGGTGGAGAGGGAGAGGGTGGACTCAGCAGGTGGAGAGGGAGAGGGTGGACTCAGCAGGTGGTGAGGGAGAGGGTGGACTCAGCAGGTGGAGAGGGGAGAGGGTGGACTCAGCAGGTGGAGAGGGAGAGGGTGGACTCAGCAGGTGGAGAGGGAGAGGGTGGACTCAGCAGGTGGAGAGGGAGAGGGTGGACTCAGCAGGTGGAGAGGGAGAGGGTGGACTCAGCAGGTGGATAGGAGGGAGAGGGTGGACTCAGCAGGTGGAGAGGGAGAGGGTGGACTCAGCAGGTGGAGAGGGAGAGGGTGGGACTCAGCAGGTGGAGAGGGAGAGGGTGGACTCAGCAGGTGGAGAGGGAGAGGGTGGACTCAGCAGGTGGAGAGGGAGAGGGTGGACTCAGCAGGTGGAGAGGGAGAGGGTGGACTCAGCAGGTGGAGAGGGGAGGGTGGACTCAGCAGGTGGAGAGGGTGGACTCAGCAGGTGGGAGGGAGAGGGTGGACTCAGCAGGTGGAGAGGGAGAGGGTGGACTCAGCAGGTGGAGAGGGAGAGGGTGGACTCAGCAGGTGGAGAGGGAGAGGGTGGACTCAGCAGGTGGAGAGGGAGAGGGTGGACTCAGCAGGGGGAGGTGGACGGAGGGAGAGGGTGGACTCAGCAGGTGGAGAGGGAGAGGGTGGACTCAGCAGGTGGAGAGGGGAGGGTGGACTCAGCAGGTGGAGAGGGTGGACTCAGCAGGTGGAGAGGGAGAGGGTGGACTCAGCAGGTGGGAGAGGGAGAGGGTGGACTCAGCAGGTGGAGAGGGAGAGGGTGGACTCAGCAGGTGGAGAGGGAGAGGGTGGACTCAGCAGGTGGAGAGGGAGAGGGTGGACTCAGCAGGTGGAGAGGGAGAGGGTGGACTCAGCAGGTGGTGAGGGAGAGGGAGAGGGTGGACTCAGCAGGTGGAGAGGGAGAGGGTGGACTCAGCAGGTGGAGAGGGTGGACTCAGCAGGTGGAGAGGGAGAGGGTGGACTCAGCAGGTGGAGAGGGAGAGGGTGGACTCAGCAGGTGGAGAGGGAGAGGGTGGACTCAGCAGGTGGAGAGGGGAGGGTGGACTCAGCAGGTGGAGAGGGAGAGGGTGGACTCAGCAGGTGGAGAGGGAGAGGGTGGACTCAGCAGGTGGTGAGGGAGAGGGTGGACTCAGCAGGTGGAGAGGGAGAGGGTGGACTCAGCAGGTGGTGAGGGAGAGGGTGGACTCAGCAGGTGGAGAGGGAGAGGGTGGACTCAGCAGGTGGAGAGGGAGAGGGTGGACTCAGCAGGTGGAGAGGGAGAGGGTGGACTCAGCAGGTGGAGAGGGAGAGGGTGGACTCAGCAGGTGGTGAGGGAGAGGGTGGACTCAGCAGGTGGAGAGGGGAGGGTGGACTCAGCAGGTGGAGAGGGAGAGGGTGGACTCAGCAGGTGGTGAGGGAGAGGGTGGACTCAGCAGGTGGAGAGGGAGAGGGTGGACTCAGCAGGTGGTGAGGGAGAGGGTGGACTCAGCAGGTGGTGAGGGAGAGGGTGGACTCAGCAGGTGGAGAGGGAGAGGGTGGACTCAGCAGGTGGAGAGGGAGAGGGTGGACTCAGCAGGTGGTGAGGGAGAGGGTGGACTCAGCAGGTGGAGAGGGAGAGGGTGGACTCAGCAGGTGGAGAGGGAGAGGGTGGACTCAGCAGGTGGAGAGGGAGAGGGTGGACTCAGCAGGTGGAGAGGGAGAGGGTGGACTCAGCAGGTGGAGAGGGAGAGGGTGGACTCAGCAGGTGGAGAGGGAGAGGGTGGACTCAGCAGGTGGAGAGGGAGAGGGTGGACTCAGCAGGTGGTGAGGGGAGGGTGGACTCAGCAGGTGGAGAGGGTGGACTCAGCAGGTGGTGAGGGAGAGGGTGGACTCAGCAGGTGGTGAGGGAGAGGGTTTGAGACGACAGGAGTTTAAATCTAACTGTGTTTTTGTTCAAAGCTTTTTATTGTTTTTCATTTGGTCTGACATGTTTGTTGTGTTTGTTGTGTGTTTATGTGTTTGTTGTGTATTAATGTGTGAGAGGATGTGTGTGTGAAAAGAAATGAATGTAAAACGAAATGTCAGTTTCGGTGGTCACACCTGTAGGTGAAAGCCATGTCAAGTCAAACCTATGAATTTAAGCGGGCAGGGCCTGGTTAGTGCTGTGATGGGAGACCTCTGGGAACAGCAGGTGCCTCAGTGGGGCGGCTGCAAAGTGCCAAGAGGTCATTTTGTGTCATTGGACACTTCCCCCACATTAGAATGAGTCTGGTGTGTGTGTGAGTGGTTGGTGGTGGTGGGAGGGGCCAATGGCACAGACTGGTTGCCTCGCTTCTGTCAGTGTGCCCCAGGGCAGCTGTGGCTACAGTAGTTTATCACCACTGTGTTTGGATATTATTATGATTATTACTCAGGAAGTATCATCGGCTGTAATCTTTTTATTAGACCGCTAAGTGCCCAGAGTCAGAACTTTTTCAGGGTTAGGGTTAGGGTGCTTTTCAGATTCATGCTGCTAAAATCTGGAACAGTCTTCCTGAAGATGTGAGACAGGCCTCCTCTCTGACAATGTTTAAAACCAGGTTAAAAACAGTTCTGTTTAACTGTGCATACAACTGAGGGATTTTATATTTTTATCTTTCTTTTTAATGTTCTGTGATTATTTATGATTTTAATGCTATCTTGTTTTGTTCAGCACTTTGAGTTGCCTTGGTATGAATTGTGCTATACAAATAAACTTGCCTTGCCTTGCCTAAGTGTCATATCACACACTGTCATAAAGTATCAGTGTGTAAACATGTGTCCAAAAGTGGTACTGCAGCCTCTCCCACTCTCCCTGACTCAGGTTGCCAGATATGCAGACGAATCCAGCTGGGACCATAACAGCTGAATAGACAAGAGTTTTGTCAACAACAAATCTATAACTAACACCTTTTTCACAAAGATAGAAATCCTGGTTTTATTCCTTGTTTTGTCGTTAATGATTTGAGAATCATAACGAGACCTTTTTTAGTTCTGCGCCACATGGTACTTTACCAGTGAGATTAGCTCCACATGGTACTTTACCAGTGAGATTAGCTCCACGCCGTGAGTTCTGGCGCCCGGATCACAGACTTTCTGACTGGTGAAACAGATTAGGGCCCTTTAATGATGACAGATTAGGGCCCTTTAATGATGACTTGACCTGGCAATCTCACACATTGCTTCTTTACGTGAAAACCTGTCTGTGCATCCTTCTGTTTTCTTTTTCATGTGGTCTTCTCGTTGCATCATTCCTTTTCAGTCTCAGCTCAGACAACACAGTCGCCCTCCGGAAACCAGCGCTTCCATTGTGTTCAAACAAAACCAGGATCACATTCACTTACATCCAACTAAAAACAACACCAGGATTAGGTGCAAGAACAATCCCACACGACCGAAGAACACCCACTGGAATGTCCTCCACTGCCCACTCCAGCCCCACCGACAACAGCATCAGTCAAACCAGAGAGTATCCACATGGAGAGGAAAGGCCACACAGAATGGAAACAGATAATGTTTTATTATCTCACTTCTGATTTGGTTTCATTGGATTGAGAGTGGTTTTTATCGGTCCAGGCACTGGCTTTGTTTGCAGGCAGCGGTGGGGATGGAAATGTGGAAACAAGTGAATGGCATTTCTCCTGTTGGCTTCGATAAGGCGAGCTGTGGAGGCGCTGAGACAAAGGCTGGGATTCTGGCAGAGAAGTGGTTTTGTTGTGTCCTTGGGCAAGACATATTCCTGTTGTCGCTCATGAATAATGTATTTTAAAGAGAAAGACTCATCCACTGTGGTCCATAAAAAACACTTCCAGGTGGTTTAACGATGACAAATCTGTTTCAAGAATGTTCCTTTATCAAAAACAGACCTAGAGCTGTTTTTAGGTCCAACCACGCTCATGTCAGTCCCTCTGACATGTCCCCCTGTCCCTTCTGACGTCAGAGATGGACAATGCTCAAGGAAGGAAGTGCTCATGGACAAAGTTTTGCTCCAACTCGAGCTCAGTAACCATATGGGTCACACTCTCCATTTTGGGTTTTTATAAATCTGGGTTTTGTTTTGTGTGAAGAAAGTGAACCCATGTCCTGAGACAAATGAATTTTATGGGAGACAATAAAGGAGTAACTTATCTTATTCTGTGTGAGAGCCATATGGATTCTTTTGCTGAGACTCTAGATTGCCTTAGCGGCCATGTTAGCAACACGTCTGCCCTAGCTATAGCACAAAGCTACTGCCATTGGAACAATAACAATAATAATAATAATAATAATAATAATGCATTGGCTTTAAACAGTGCTTTTCAGACACTCAAAGATGCTTCACATGTTCATTCTCTCCAAACACGGTGGTGATAAACTACTACTGTAGCCACAGCTGCCCTGGGGCACACTGACAGAAGCAAGGCAACCAGTCTGTGCCATCGGCCCCTCTGACCAAGGCATCAGGTGCTCCCAGAGTTTAAGGCCCTGTTTATACTGAGACGCTGCGCAGACGTTTCCAGGCTATTAACAGAAACGACCTGGCTCCTAATGCAAATTTCTCTGCGTTCACATGAGGTTGAAAAACGATGTAGTTCTAGCGCCCGGCCAGTAGGGGGCAGAGAAACTTTACAACACAACACACGACCCCCAGCCCCGTGCCCAGCCCCCCTCGGCAGTGTACTCACTTCCTGTGCCAGACCCTCAGAAAGTACCAACATCATTCTGCATTTTAACAGCAGCTGTGAAAATGGAAACTAGAGCTTCGCGTGGTCTCGTTTGGACGAACGAAGGAGTAGAATTATCCTCTGTCCCGCGCTGGAAGCCCACGTAGCTAGTTTGTGTGGGCGGCGCCATTACTGCGCATGTCCAAATGTACGTGCGGGGAGCAGCAGGAGGTGGGGGTCAGAGCAGCAGGAGGTGGGGGTCAGAGCAGCAGGAGGTGGGGGTCAGAGCAGCAGGAGGTGGGGGTCAGAGCAGCAGGAGGTGGGGGTCAGAGCAGCAGGAGGTGGGGGTTAGAGCAGCAGGAGGTGGGGGTCAGAGCAGCAGGAGGCGGGGGTCAGAGCAGCAGGAGGTGGGGGTCAGAGCAGCAGGAGGCGGGGGTCAGAGCAGAGGGGGTTTCACACCTTTCTCCCTCTCGCGGGTGTGAAAGAGCCCCCGCTGTGCAGCGTTTCTGAGGCTGGATCTGAACACTTACGTTTTCACCTGGAACAGTCTTCGTATGAACGGTTGGTAGCAACCGACATCCAACTATACTGTTTTACTGCCACATTGTCTCCGTGTAAACTCAGCCTAAGTGTCTTGCCAAGGACACAACAACAACAGCTCATTTGTCTCAGGACATGGGTTCGAAATTTCCCCACTGTGGGACAAATAAAGGAATCTCATCTTATCAAAGGCCAATGCTCTGAGCAACTGTCGCCCATATAAGGACATTAGCTTCTGTATTAGCTTCTGTATTAGCTTCTGTATTAGCTTCTGTATTAGCTTATCCATGAAGACTACTACAGTGACGTCAGAACTCAGTCAGCCCACTCCTAATTCACTAACATCTGTGAATGAGACAGAGCTGTTTGACAAAGTAGTTTTGTGAGTTATTATAATGTATTTTCTCAATTTATTCTTTATAAAAGCTGAGGTATGTATCTTTCAAATCACAAAACATGTATTTAAATAATCAAATCGTTCTCAAAACACTCTGGTTCTCTCACTAGTTATCACATGCTTTCATCATCTTTATCAGCTTTTTCAGACGTGGGACAAAAGGGGACAGCCAATCAGCTCTCGGCCTAAGACTAAAGTCTGTTTACAAGACTCCATCTGTGGTGAAAGAGAAAAGTGAAGTTCCCACCTTTAAGGACCCCCACAGCCACCATAAACAAAGCCAGCACAATTGCTAAAGAAGAAAACATGTGTTGATATATATAACTGATTATTTCACAAAACATGACATTTTAGTGCCAGACTGAACGTGGAGAACACAGAAAAGAAGAAAAGAATCAAAAAGCTGTTGTTTTAAAACCGCACATAAAGGATTGCACTGATTACATTACTCACACGATTCATGACTTCTAACTTTCCTGAGATAATGCAGCTGTTACAAAGAGCAGTGTTTGAGCCGCACTTTGGTTTTCAGACGTCTTTCCTTTTCTTTGAGTCATAAAACCTGTAGGTACCTGTTTAACTTTTCTATAATTAAGACTCAAATCAGAGCACTTATGTCTAAATTATTCCTCTGCTCTGACACTTTTCTTCCTGCAATTACCTGCAAGATATATCTGGCCCGTCTCACACAGGTTCCTTTGAGGCCGTCTGTAGGTGGACAGTTATTTCAATGCTCGCTATTCTTGTGTTTCATTAAACTGGCCAGTAGGGGGCGCATGAGCAGAAGTGGGACAGTTCTGATCCCATTGAAAAACATGTAAAGTCTGTTTATGAGACAAAGGCTCTCCTCCTGTGCGGTGTACGGTTGTTGGAACAGTCTTAATCGGGGACACTCAATTCTAAGGGAGAACTAACAAATATTTCTCAAAAGAGCAAACTCTTTCTATTTGTGTAGTTGCTACAAGCGTACGCCGAACAAAAAGATGGCATTTTGACAGCGCTTCTTCTTCTACTATATCTCCGTGTATAAACCCGGCAGACTGCAGCGCCAGGGTACGTCACGTCCTGTCCTACGTTTGTTATTCACTGCCCTGACGTCACATGGAACCCAAGAATATAAATGGAAAGATAATAGTTCATTGAAAGAGCGATGTGTCTCAAACAGAGGCGTACGTACTGATAATAATGAAATGCCTCAGTTTTATACAGCGCTTTTCTGGACACTTAAAGACGCTTCACATGTCATTTTACTTTCACTTCGTACGGTCGTGATAAACTAAACTAAACTACCTTTGTCGCCACAGCTGCCCTGGGGCACTCTGACAGAAGCCGCAGTCGCCCCTCTGTGGTACGTGGTGTTTCCAGAGGTCTCCCATCACAGTACTAACCATGACCAGCCCTGCTTTGCTTCAGAGGTCTGACTGGATCTAGCTTTCACCTGCAGGTGGCGCCACGTACCACCATAAATCTGTAGTGGTCAAATAGTGGTACTGCATCCTGAGCTCAGAAGATTTCTCACATAAACTAAAAAAATACAAATAAAAATGGCACTATAATAAACAACATAATACTTGGGGCTATTGCCAATTTGAATTAAGTTTTATTTTGCTCACATAAACTTATTCTTTTTTCGCCTACATTTTTATAAGTGTCATTAGTGTAAGTGAATTTACAGCAGCAACTGTTTAAACATTCTGAACCCTGTAGCATCAGTTTGACTGCATTCATATGTTTTTATAGTGCACTACATTTGAATTTGGATCCTGGCCTCTCCATTGGCTCCTGAGAGAGAGACGATTTTACAATGTCCATGTGGGCGGAGTCAGGCTGGGCACAGGTGTTGTAGTGTGTTGTAGTGCGTTGTAGTGCGTTGTAGTGCGTTGTATTGCGTTGTATTGCGTTGTATTGTGTTGTAGTGATTTGCAGTGTGTTGCAGTGTGTTGTATTGTGTTGTAGTGTGTTGTATTGTGTTTTAGTGTGTTGTATTGTGTGTTTTGTGTTGTAGTGTGTTGTAGTGCGTTGTAGTGTGTTGTAGTGTGTTGTAGTGATTTGCAGTGTGTTGTAGTGTGTTGTAGTGTGTTGTAGTGTGCGTCTGAACGGCCTGGAGGTGTTGGATTCGTGTAAAATGTTTGTATTAACCAATCTCTTTTCAAACTGCACAGGTTTTTTTGTTTTCTTTAATGATTCTTATTTTTGGTGTGTGTTTAAACAAATGAAGTTGTGGTCCTGCAGAGATCAGTAGTGTGTTGTAGTGTGTGTTTTCCAACAGAAAAGCAACATTTCATGACATTAGCTCTAAATATGTGCTTCAGTCCAGAGTTTACGGACGGTCTCTTTAACTGGGCCGACGTGAGTTTAGCTTTGACTGTGCAGACGCCTCTGCTCCCTCCTCCCACTGCTGCTCTGGCTGCCGCAGCTGCCCCGGGACGCCCTCAGCCGCAGGTTCTGGGAGATGGGCCGGTGCAGGTTGGCAGCAGAGGAGGCTGGGGCTTCAGCAGAGACCCACGGGTGCTGCAGAGCTTGATCCGCGGAGAGGCGAGCGCACGGATCCACACGCAGAAGCCCAGAGATGAAGTCTTTGGCCAGGTCTGACACACGGGGCCAGGGCTGTGGACGAAGACGGCCAGGTTAGAATCCACTTAATCCACTTAATCCACTGTATCCACTGTATCCACTTTATCCACTGTATCCACTGTATCCACTGTATCCACTTTATCCATTTAATCCACTGTATCCACTGTATCCACTTTATCCACTGTATCCACTGTATCCACTGTATCCACTTTATCCACTTTATCCACTTTATCCACTGTATCCACTGTATCCACTTTATCCACTGTATCCACTGTATCCACTGTATCCACTGTATCCACTTTATCCACTGTATCCACTTTATCCACTTTATCCACTTTATCCACTTTATCCACTGTATCCACTGTATCCACTGTATCCACTGTATCCACTGTATCCACTGTATCCACTGTATCCACTTTATCCACTGTATCCACTTTATCCACTTTATCCACTTTATCCACTGTATCCACTGTATCCACTGTATCCACTGTATCCACTCTATCCACTTTATCCACTTTATCCACTTTATCCACTTTATCCACTTTATCCACTGTATCCACTGTATCCACTGTATCCACTTTATCCACTTTATCCACTTTATCCACTTTATCCACTGTATCCACTGTATCCACTTTATCCACTTTATCCACTTTATCCACTGTATCCACTTTATCCACTTTATCCACTTTATCCACTTTATCCACTTTATCCACTTTATCCACTTAATCCTGTTTATCCAGTTTATCCACTTAATCCTGTTTATCCTGTTTATCCAGTTTATCCTGTATTTGATTAACCCTAACTGAGATTATGACGGATTAAACATGATGAGGTTTTCAAACTGCAGACCTGTGCTTTGACCCGTGTTGATCTGGAGAACAGTGGGAAAGCTCAGAGTGTTGTTTAGACCTGTGTCGACTTTTCTCCATGTGCAAAAGCAGGAATGTGTCAAAATAAAAGTGTTATGTCCAAATATAATCTCTGCTCTTTCCTTGATTATTAAAGAGAGGCGTGTGTCGTGTGAACCTTTAACACCTTTAACATCTGAGCCACGTAACAATAAAACTAAATAACGAATCATTTACGTTTAGACCGAACAGGACTCGGCAAAAAGAGCAGGTCACGAGAAATGTCAAAGGCCAAGTTTTTATAAAATGTTTTATTTGTTTTGGGCGATGTGTGTTAATGAACCGAAGTCACAGACACACACTCATTCACCCTGAACATGTTTTTAGTGGAAGGGGAAACCATTTTGCTTGTTTTGTGTGTTTTGGGCGAAAAACCAGGTATTTATGGAACCCATGTCACAACAATGTTATATCTGACCTGTTTTAGCTTCATTTGTGGCTTGTCTGTTTACCAAAAGATCCTCAGACTCTGACATCAGGGACAGAGACATTTTCTCCATTTGAAAACAAAGGAACACAACACAATGGTCTAAAGTTGTGAAAAGTAAAAGCTATGTCTCCTTTAAAAGTCCTCCTGGCTCAAACCTTGGCTCTCCACTCGCTCTCCACTCCTTCAAACACCATTTCAATACAGTTTTTGTGTATTCCCTCCGAGGCCACGCTGTGATCCTCGCTCTGTGGATCTAACAAGCACAAGTCCACTCAAAGGAAAGCCAAATGTCAGAGCTCTGAGCCGTCGGCCGCAGAGTCCAGTCTCTCTCCGTAAAACTGTCCCCAGCCTCATCCAAACAGTCTTTAATTCAACCCAAAACACTCTTTCAACAAAGCTTTGAACGGAGGACATGATCAAATATGGAACCAGGCTTTGGTGGTGGTCCGCCTCAAGACAACTCCAAAATGTCAAAATCTGGTTTTTCATGCTTTATTAGAAAAAAATATGACAAAAACGGGCTTTTCAGTCCTAGAAATACAGCAGGATTTGGGACACAACAGAAAATATAAATGAGTCCATAGTAGTAACAATAATGTGTATCTGGCACCCTTTGCTGTGTATCTGGCACCCTTTGCTGTGTATCTGCTCCGATTGTGTATCTGCTCCGATTGTGTATCCGTGTTATGATTCTAATATAGCCTTTCCACGCCTCAGATGTGACACACATGTTTTACGGTGTGTGACGTAACATTGACAACATGGAGCTTGTCCTAAACTTGGTTCTGTCTAAAAAAAACTAAAAGGAACTGAAGGAAACTGAACAAAGTATGCTCTGCTAAAGATCTCGTCTGAGGAGGATTTTCACAGGACTTTGCAAACGTGCCGTGGCTCCAAAAGGTTAGGGTTAGGTTTAGGTTTAGGGTTAGGTAACCCTAACCTAACCCTAAAAGGTTGGGGAACACTGCCATAGACTTAGCAGGGAAGGGAAAAAAGTCCTTAATTGTTTATTGTGAATGACAGCGCGTACGATGCGTCGCTAACGTACGATGCGTCGCTAACGTACGATGCGTCGCTAACGTACGATGCGTCGCTAACGTACAATGCGTCGCTAACGTACGATGCGTCGCTAACGTACGATGCGTCGCTAACGTACGATGCGTCGCTAACGTACGATGCGTCGCTAACGTACGATGCGTCATTGGTCGGCCTTTGAAAAAACCATTTACCCTCTGATTGGACTGTACTCTGTGGCTACAGTGAAAGACATTCAAAGTAAATGAAATCCAATTTTCCTCACCCCCCCTCACCCCCTCCTCACCCCCTCCTCACCCCCCCTCACCCCCTCCTCACCCCTCCTCACCCCCCCTCACCCCCTCCTCACCCCTCCTCACCCCCCCTCACCCCCCCCTCACCCCCTCCTCACCCCCCCTCACACCCCCCCTCACCCCCCCTCACCCCCTCCTCACCCCCTCCTCACCCCCCCCTCCTCCCCCCCTCCTCACCCCCCCTCACCCCCTCCTCACCCCCTCCTCACCCCCTCCTCACCCCCCCTCACCCCCTCCTCACCCCCCCTCACCCCCTCCTCACCCCTCCTCACCCCCCCTCACCCCCTCCTCACCCCCCCCTCACCCCCCCCTCACCCCCCCTCCTCACCCCTCCTCACCCCCCCCTCACCCCCCCTCACACTTCAGTCTGCAGCAGAGGCAGAGCAGGCCTTTGAATTCCACTCACCGACTCTGGTCCCGCCGTTGTCAATTTCACGCTTGATTAATCGTCATTACGCGAAGAGAGACAAAAAAGCAGAGAAAGGATTTAAATGGAGAGCAAGACCTCCCTAAAGAGAAGAAGTCTCTGAGCAAAGGAGAGAAAGCTACTGTACTTAACTTTTATGGCAGAGCGGCGGAGATGGTGACACTGCAACATTTATATCAGAGAAGAAGTCATTAAAGGCCACAGACTGTGCTCAGTGTCATCAGGAAAACCCTCGTCTCATTAGTTTAACTTTAGGACATTAATATTAATATTCAACTGGAACAATGTTGTAAGAGACTGATCAACGCTGAGTCGGACATGTATCACAGACTCAGAGAAGAACCTTCAGTCCAAGAAGCGATTGTTGGGGGGGTTAGCGATTGTGTCCCGGGTTGTACAGGAACTTTAAATGACTCAAACTAGAGATGGATATAATCACAGTTTGTGAAATATCAACATATTTAAGGTAAATTAAGGTCATTTTCACATTGAAATGACCACAGAATTTTATTTACTTTAAACAACAATCTCAAAATGTAATGACCGTAAATTCCCAACTATAAGCTGCTGCATTTTCCTGCACTTTGAACGTTGTGGCTTATCTTAAAGTTTTGAACCAAGCTTAGACCAAGCTTATCTTAAAGCTTGGTCTTACCAAACCACTGTACACATTTAATTTCAACTTAGGTCTGGATCTGCTCCATTGACTCCGTTAACAGGTGGGAGGGGTTAACTCCTTTTGCAGATTGAAACGATCTGAGTTTACTGTGGCGTATGTGATGCGCCCGAGTGAGTAAGGCATTTAGCCTAGCTTTAGCATTTAGCCTAGCTTTAGCATTTAGCCTAGCTTTAGCCATCTACTTTGCCGCTAACGGAGCCCGTGGGGAGTAGAGCCACAAAATATTTCCCAGCAAAGAAATTTGCTAAACATTCCTCTTGCTCCGGCCTCAATTTCTTCATATTTGGAGCCGAACCAGAACCGCTTTACCATCACATCCTTGACCAAACTACAATCAGAAAATTCAGCGCAAACTCTTGATGTCATGACAACTGCCTCCTGATTGGTCAGAAGGGATTCAACCAAGGTAACTGCAGACACTGGGATCAGACCCAGACGTACATGTAGGAAATGATCATGGACCAGAGTTTACACATGGTAAGACCAGACGTACATGTAGGAAATGATCATGGACCAGAGTTTACACATGGTAAGACCAGACGTACATGTAGGAGATGATCATGGACCAGAGTTTACACATGGTAAGACCAGACGTACATGTAGGAGATGACCATGGACCAGAGTTTACACATGGTAAGACCAGACGTACATGTAGGAAATGATCATGGACCAGAGTTTACACATGGTAAGACCAGACGTACATGTAGGAAATGATCATGGACCAGAGTTTACACATGGTAAGACCAGATGTACATGTAGGAGATGATCATGGACCAGAGTTTACACATGGTAAGACCAGACGTACATGTAGGAGATGATCATGGACCAGAGTTTACACATGGTAAGACCAGACGTACATGTAGGAGATGATCATGGACCAGAGTTTACACATGGTAAGACCAGACGTACATGTAGGAGATGATCATGGACCAGAGTTTACACATGGTAAGACCAGACGTACATGTAGGAAATGATCATGGACCAGAGTTTACACATGGTAAGACCAGACGTACATGTAGGAAAAGATCATGAACCAGAGTTTACACATGGTAAGACCAGACGTACATGTAGGAGATGATCATGGACCTGAGTTTACACATGGTAAGACCAGACGTACATGTAGGAAATGATCATGGACCAGAGTTTACACATGGTAAGACCAGATGTACATGTAGGAAATGATCATGGACCAGAGTTTACACATGGTAAGACCAGGCGTACATGTAGGAAATGATCATGGACCAGAGTTTACACATGGTAAGACCAGACGTACATGTAGGAAATGATCATGGACCAGAGTTTACACATGGTAAGACCAGACGTACATGTAGGAAATGATCATGGACCAGAGTTTACACATGGTAAGACCAGACGTACATGTAGGAAATGATCATGGACCAGAGTTTACACATGGTAAGACCAGATGTACATGTAGGAGATGATCATGGACCAGAGTTTACACATGGTAAGACCAGACGTACATGTAGGAGATGATCATGGACCAGAGTTTACACATGGTAAGACCAGACGTACATGTAGGAAATGATCATGGACCAGAGTTTACACATGGTAAGACCAGACGTACATGTAGGAAATGATCATGGACCAGAGTTTACACATGGTAAGACCAGACGTACATGTAGGAAATGATCATGGACCAGAGTTTACACATGGTAAGACCAGACGTACATGTAGGAAATGATCATGGACCAGAGTTTACACATGGTACAGTAAGACCAGACGTACATGTAGGAGATGATCATGGACCAGAGTTTACACATGGTAAGACCAGATGTACATGTAGGAGATGATCATGGACCAGAGTTTACACATGGTAAGACCAGACGTACATGTAGGAGATGATCATGGACCAGAGTTTACACATGGTAAGACCAGATGTACATGTAGGAGATGATCATGGACCAGAGTTTACACATGGTAAGACCAGACGTACATGTAGGAGATGATCATGGACCAGAGTTTACACATGGTAAGACCAGGCGTACATGTAGGAAATGATCATGGACCAGAGTTTACACATGGTAAGACCAGGCGTACATGTAGGAAATGATCATGAACCAGAGTTTACACATGGTAAGACCAGACGTACATGTAGGAGATGATCATGGACCAGAGTTTACACATGGTAAGACCAGACGTACATGTAGGAAATGATCATGGACCAGAGTTTACACATGGTAAGACCAGATGTACATGTAGGAAATGATCATGGACCAGAGTTTACACATGGTAAGACCAGGCGTACATGTAGGAAATGATCATGGACCAGAGTTTACACATGGTAAGACCAGACGTACATGTAGGAAATGATCATGGACCAGAGTTTACACATGGTAAGACCAGACGTACATGTAGGAAATGATCATGGACCAGAGTTTACACATGGTAAGACCAGACGTACATGTAGGAGATGATCATGGACCAGAGTTTACACATGGTAAGACCAGATGTACATGTAGGAGATGATCATGGACCAGAGTTTACACATGGTAAGACCAGACGTACATGTAGGAGATGATCATGGACCAGAGTTTACACATGGTAAGACCAGACGTACATGTAGGAAATGACCATGGACCAGAGTTTACACATGGTAAGACCAGACGTACATGTAGGAAATGATCATGGACCAGAGTTTACACATGGTAAGACCAGACGTACATGTAGGAGATGATCATGGACCAGAGTTTACACATGGTAAGACCAGACGTACATGTAGGAGATGATCATGGACCAGAGTTTACACATGGTAAGACCAGACGTACATGTAGGAAATGACCATGGACCAGAGTTTACACATGGTAAGACCAGACGTACATGTAGGAGATGACCATGGTCCAGAGTTTACACATGGTAAGACAGACGTACATGTAGAAAATGATCATGGACCAGAGTTTACACATGGTAAGACCAGACGTACATGTAGGAAATGATCATGGACCAGAGTTTACACATGGTAAGACCAGACGTACATGTAGGAAATGATCATGGACCAGAGTTTACACATGGTAAGACCAGACGTACATGTAGGAGATGATCATGGACCAGAGTTTACACATGGTAAGACCAGACGCACATGTAGGAAATGATCATGGACCAGAGTTTACACATGGTAAGACCAGACGCACATGTAGGAAATGATCATGGACCAGAGTTTACACATGGTAAGACCAGACGTACATGTAGGAAATGATCATGGACCAGAGTTTACACATGGTAAGACCAGACGTACATGTAGGAGATGATCATGGACCAGAGTTTACACATGGTAAGACCAGACGCACATGTAGGAAATGATCATGGACCAGAGTTTACACATGGTAAGACCAGACGTACATGTAGGAGATGATCATGGACCAGAGTTTACACATGGTAAGACCAGGCTAGAATAAATGTAAAATAAATGTAAATAAAGCATTTGACCTTATGTATGGTTATGAAGACAATAAATTAGTGCTACAACATGAATGGGTTTGCCTCAGGGGTCCTATTTCTCCCCATTCAATTTCTTCCCCAAAAAAACCCAGTTAAAGAAGAATCTATACGACAACATTATAGTCATTACCGCCCGAAACGCATTGACTATCCTTTTACAGTGTTTGCAGTTCATTCATTGAGGCAGTTTGTCACAAGCTTTTCAAAGTTCAGTACCAGCCTCGACAACAACCACAGCTTCTGATTTGCAGATTGTGATGTCATGATGTCCCCCTCTGGCAACTGTCTTCTCGTTGCTCATTACCCATAATGTCAGAACCTCCTTAGCTTTTGTTTTCCTCCCTCCACCCCTCTATCTATCCATCCATTCCTTGTTCATCCATCTTTTTATTCATTTTCTCCGCTCTCTCACCTCACAAAGCACCATCAGAGGGTCTTGCTTTGACATGACATGTAGAGATGGTTCGGGACTCTTGACAGCAAGGCAAGGCTTCTGTGCTCCAGCTAATGAGCCCGCTGACTTCTGTATATAGTATGTGTGTGTGTGTATGAGTGTGTGTGTGTGTGTGTGTGTGTGTGTGTGATGTGATGTGAGGGGGGGGGTAGCTTTATACACAATGACAAAAATGAGCTGCAAAGAATGAAAACAACAAGGCAAGGCAACATCTGAAGCCTGCATGCATATATAGGGGGTGGGGGTCATGAGAAGGTGATGTATACAAACTCGCAGGTGTAAAAAAGCTGAAATACATGTTGATATTGTTGTTTTATTCAAATGATCAGCAGAACACCAACTTACAATAAGAATAATAACAAAAAAAATGCATTCCTTT